ATTAGTTGGTTGTCGTATCAATCGTGCTGTTTCGCCATCATAATTAATAAAGGCAGTTTTAGATTCATTAGAAAAAACGCGAAAAGAAGCGAAAACGCGTGAATGGTTTTTGATTCAACTATCACCAATATATTGTAATACATATATAAGTTTACTAATTAAAAAATATTCAGAGAAATTAGCTCGACTGAATCAGCTAGCCGGCTATGCGCCGGCGCATCCTAGTCAGCTTTAAACAACAATAACGATAGATACGACAAAGATTCTCTATTAGATGAAATGTGCCAAGATTTTAGAAAATCCTGTTGTTATCGTTGTACATGCACGAATGTTAAATTTAGAATTAGGTTTATTACAAATTTGAATTGGTATTATACCAATTAACATCAAGTGTTTGTTGTACATCATCGAATTGTTTGTATTTGGATTTTTTTGGAAATTATATCTTTACAGGGATATATACGTATTTAATGTATTAAAAGGAAGCAATCGTATTAAGAAAGTACTCGTATTTGAACAAGAAAGAGGCAGTGAAATATTTATTTTATGCGCAAGCATTCGAATGATTTCTTTAAATACCAAATGTCACCAAGGCTGTGTAACAAATCTAAGTAAAACTGCTTTCGCAACAAAACGAGAAAACTCAGTGTTGGCAAGTGACATTGGATGACAAGTGACAAATGACAAAATCATTTGAAGAATAGCAATTGTCAAAAATTGGCCAGTGTGTTCTTTTTAGAATTGTAAATTTCTAGGCTCTTAAGCTTATTTGAATGAGCAGAACCCAACGAATTCTAATTAGGCAAAAATAAGCAAACACATGCATCTTAGAAAGTGGCCTAAGACTTTTGTCCGGTCAGGGTATTTACCTAAATAATACAGCACAACAAAAGAAACAGGTTGCGTTATAACCCTCACAAAGCTTTCTTTGTGATAGTATTTCCGGAATATTCTTTTGAATAATTAGTAATCCTCTAGAGAATATGATACGTATATCGATATTGAATGCAAAATTTGTTATACAACTAAACTGTCATTGGTACAGATTTTGTGCTTGGGATAATACGTACCTTTTTTTTATATCGATATTACTTTTTCCGGAAAATTAAATGAAGATATCGTCAAAATTCAAAAAAATGGTGTAATGTAAAATAAAAAATATATTTATACTTTACAGATTCAAAAAAATTACGATGAATAGATCAAAAAATATCACGATAAATAAATCAAAAACATTACGATAGTATAAAGCAGCAACACTACGATAAATATAAAGCAAAAACAATGACTGATGATAGAACAACGACTGATGATAACAATGATGGTTCAAGCGACTTTATGGGAAGAACCAAACTTTTAGGAACTTTTTCTGGTATCGGGAATAATTGCAATAACATGATTGGTGCGGGGATATTTTCAAGCCCCGGTCTGGTTCTAAGTGAAATTCAGTCCCCCGGGATCGCACTAATCTTATGGTTCGTGGGTGGAATTGCCGCCTTGTTTGGATCGCTTTCTTATACCGAAGTATTTATATTTTATTTATTTTTAACTTCATTTTGTCCTAATATAATTTAACACCTTGATTGTTTAATGCATGATAGTTGGGCAGTTCTATATTAGAGGGAGGCGGCGAAATTGTGTATTTGGAACGAGCATACCCTCGTCCACAAGCACTATTTAGTTATATGTTTAGTTTTGCCATGATTGTGGCAATACGACCCGCTTCAATGTGTGCTATTGCGAATGTCTTCGCGCAATATTTCCTGTATCTATTGAAGGCGGAGGAACGGTGTGACATCGATTATCTGCATCCAAAGGAATACATTGTTGATTGGCAGTTTTGGTAAGTTAATACGTAACGATAACGATCATCACGCACCTGAACTGTTCTAAATCTAGAAATTCTGTCATTAGGCAATTACGACTTTGTTCGTTAGCCACGGTGGTTATAATAACAATTTACCACATTATATCCAACAAATGGGCAAATCGAATAAATCAAACTCTCACAATAATAAAGATTTTGATCCTGTTAGTGGTATCGATTATTGGATTGGCAACAATTCCTCGGTTTATTAAAGATGAAAACACAAATTGGAAACATATGTTTCCCAATGATATGAATATTAGTGGCCGCTCTTTGACTGCTGCACTTATTCCTATTTTATTTGCATACAGCGGATGGGGGAATCTTAATTGTAAGTGATAAAAATTTTTATGTGCACTTCAGTAAACTAATTTAAAGCTTTTTTTTTTTATAGATACTTTAGATGAATTCGTCGACCCGAAGAAAAAATTATTTATGTCAAATAGTATCAGTGTCGGTATTGTTACTTTTTTGTGTAAGTGTTATTTACTATGCGAATGAAAATGCGTTGTTGATATCGATATCGATATTTTCTTGAATCTAGCACTAATGTATGGATTTGTATACTGATACATACGTACTAGACTTGTGTGCAAATATTGCATACACGAACGTGCCATTATCAAAAATAACTGGCAATACTGAACCTTCAGAAATCATTGCTGGCCGTTTCGCTTTCCAAGTCGGTGGCTTTAATTTAGCTCGTGCATTATCCTTTTTCATCTGTCTATCAGCTTTTGGAGCACTGGCCGCGAACGTATGGGCCGGATCGCGAGTAATTGTAGCCGCTGCCAAAAGAAATTATATTCCTTTCTCGTCATGGTTACAAAAATGGAATGGACATACAGATACTCCGATTTTTGCGTTGGTATAAAAATATATTTTCTACTTTCAAACATTTATTTTCTTTGATCTTTTAATCATTAACAATTAATTATTTTCAGCTAACGCAAGCAGTCTGGAGTTCATTGATTATCATCTTTTACCCACATAATGATCCATTTAAATTTTTTATTAACGTGGGTGGGCATTGCATGTGGATATTTCTATTTCTGAGCGCTTCGGGATTATTGGTAAGTTTTTTTTAGATTGATTGGTTTTTGTCAAAACTTTCAATATTCTAATTATAATTCTCATTAGTTTCTGCGCTATTCTGAACCCGAGCTAGCGCGTCCATTCAAAGTGTTTATCTTAATACCAATAATATTTATTATGTTTTCGCTATTTATTATAATTGGGTCTTTCGTAGACGATTCAACACTAAAGAAACAACAATTAGAACAACCCGAAACAATCAACGACAGACCATGTAAAAGTGCCAAATATGCAAAATTTAACTACCACCTTCCTTACATTGTCAGTTTGGCTGTAGTAGGGGTTAGTGCAATTTGCTGGTACTTTTTATACGAGTTAGATTTGCGAGTTAACTTCGAATTAAGAAGAACATCACGTCCACATGGTAATGATGAGAAATGGTCAGTTGGGAAGGTTATACCAATGGAAGTCACTGGGACAAATGACACTTTTGAGTCTGGTCAATAGTTATAGAAAGAGTTAGTGCTGGGATAAAATTGTGTTGGCCGAAAGATTCTAAATCCACACTAAGTGGACTCCGAATCCACCAATATCACTTACATATGTAGTCAATCTAATAAAAAAAACTATCTACCGTATTTTGCCACGTAAACTCACAACCTTTAATTTAGTCTGATTTTTTATCCTAGACCCAGCTGAAATAACACGTGATTTGTTATTAATTTATATTTTTAGTAAAACCAATTACGTTTCTGCAAAATGAATAAAACGAGATTCATAGTATAATTTCTTCAAAAATTTTTGTATTAAATTAACAGCTCCATTGTCTATTAATAACTTACAAAACAATTATTTAAATAACAAAGGCAGTATAAAGAAATATAATAAACATTTATCTCTAAAAGAAATAACCTTTATTTGTTTCACGGTTTATTGTTATCTATGATTGTGATTTATATTATATATTATACATATAACGTATATATAACATATATAGCTTAATTAATTTGATTGGGTGGACTGTAGGGCTGTTAAAAGTCTCATGTGAGTCGGTCTTTGAGTCGTCTTTTGCTGAGTTGCTTTTGAGTCTGAGTTTAGG